GTCATAGCCCCGTTTCATCAATATGCTCTTGTTGCTGAGGAAAGCATGCGTCATTGATATGCCTCTCATGTAATCACTTAGTTCTTCTGGACAGGAACGTGACAAAACCAGGAAAAACCCAGAAGTGGCTCAGCGAGGTAATTCCACTGATGGTGTTTAATAGCACAGAGCGGTACGCCGGCTTCTGGGATGTGTCAGAGCCAAAGACAGGAAACGTTTTTCATCACTCTGTGGAATTTCAAGCATTGGCAAAAGCTGCTAAAATTAAAGGGATTAAGCTCTTCTTAAAAGTACGGAGGTAAAACATTTAGCGCTCTAAGCTGTAAGCAGCAGCAGTCGGGCTGCAGTGCAGCAGCTTGGATGTGTGATTTTGGGAGCGAATGTTGTAAAATTTCTGTTTTTTTAGTAGCGTTGATGTCCAGAGTAGATTAGTGGCACATCCTGTGGAGATATGACGCCATGCATCCAGTGTCTTACACAGAAAACAGTGGGTGTGGGTGCACCGACAGGCATCTGAGGTATTTTCATTGCAAACCATCGACAATGAGGTCAGATACATTAGAAACACAACACTTTATAGTACCCAAAAATCTACATTAAAGCTGCTCTGATCACTGATTTGACATTAACTATGGATCAAATGGCATCAAAGCGGATATTAAAAGCGCTACTTCAGGTGTTTAAATCAGTCATCATCCTCTGGCTTTGCAGCTTCTCAGTGTCCAGCTTGTGGTTTACGTTCTCCAGCCTGTTTCGTTCACTCCCACCATTGTTATCAGAGTTGTTTCCAGCTGTGGCATCCAGCTCCATAAACCCACAGTACGCTACCTGCCGAGCGGACAGTTAGCGAACACGGTGAACATGGTGGAGCGTTAGGCTGCTAAATGGTCAAATATTTCCCTCAGGGGTTGGTAGAGACCAAACACGGAGCTAAAAGGAGAGAAGATCTGCTGATTCCCTCTCAGTGTTTAAGAAAAGACTGAAGAGCAGCTCTTCACTGAACACCTCTGCACTTGACAGACTGAAAACAAACAAATAAATCCTATCACCTCCCTACAGCCTGCTATCACACTTGTTCTATGGCTCTGATCCAGGTTGTTTTCTCCTGACTGGATCCTTGCTGGTGTTGTATCTGCTCTCAGATGTACGTCGCTTTGGATAAAAGCGTCTCCTAAATGAAACTGTAGTAAGATTTTCCAGGTAACTCCAGTGAATATTGTTGTTGCTCTACATCCATATCGGCCCCGTGAAGGAGAAAGAATGAAGAACTTTGCATTGTGCTCGCTTCAAGTCAAGTCATGTCAGTTTTATTTATACAGCTCAATATCACAAATTACACATTCGCCTCAGGGGGCTTCACCAACCTCAAATTGGATGTGGAAAAACTCCCCCCAAAAATCCCTTTAATGATGAAAAATGGAGGAAACCTCAAGAAGAACAACAGAGAAGGGGTTCATCTGTAGGGATGGGCAGACGTGTAGCAGGAATATGGTGAATGTAAAGCAGAGGACAGTAAGGAGGGCTGACATAAAGAGAATGATTCAGGAGGACATCAAGCAGCTTCCAGCACAGAGAGCTGTGGGCAAGAAGAGGATACGCAAAAGAAAACAGGGAGACACAATGTTTATGTATATATTTCGTGAATAAAAGCCTCAAGCCAAAGTGCGCTCACGTCTTTTCACATCCTGCATCCTCCTGCAAAAACATTTTAACCCTCATCAGTACGTCACCGGCTGTTGACTGTAAACTTGCCCTCGGCTCCGGCATCTCCAGAGAAAAGTTGTCTCGAATCTGGTTGAATGCACTTTAAAGGTACTCCAGAGCTTTCTTAGAAGTGCTTGTTTACAGCCTGTGATTTTGTGTAGGGAGATGGTATCAGACCTCAGGAAGTCAGTTGGCTAACGCCTTGGTGTTTACACTGCAAAGTCCATCTTGGGCCTCTGTGACCCATTTCTGTGATTTGGAGCTTCCCCCCGGTCCAAAAAAAAAAAGAGAAAGAAATAAAGAAAAGAAAACAGCCAATTTAGACAAATATAGATAGCTGACAGATTAATTAAACTAAAACGTACAGAACTGGCTTTGGTTCGATTGGTTAATCTTTTCATTTTTTCCGCTCCACGTCTTTGGAGAAATTAAAATGACAGAAGCTTCATGTTTTAATCAGAGAAACGTTTCCTCCAAAAACATCATCAGGTGTGATTCAGAAATAATATTTTACAAACTGTCAGTGTCGCCAAATCCTTTGTAAGCAGAATATTATCATTTGGTTTGATTTTAAGTAAGTATTTCTCAAGTTCTGCTTATTTTTTTCTTAATTCCCCGTTTTATGTTTTCTTTCAATAATGGTTTGTTATGTGAAGCTATGTGTTTATTTCATTTGGACATCTCGCCGTGTTTCCATCAGACAAGCTTCAAATCCAGAAATCATTTGAGAGTTACTAACAAATGTCTCGTTGCTGGATTAGCAGCTCGTGGCTACCTGCATATTTCTCTGTATTTCTGTTGTATTACGTGTCAGGTTTCAAATCCATTGTTCAATCCTGCAGCAGCGTCTGCATCACAGGAAACAGGCTCCTTCCTACCTGTTCTGCCCTTTTTTTCTCCACAACTCTGTTTAAATTTTACCTCGAGAGTCGTGCTGTTTGTGGGAGCGGTGGAGAGCTGCATGCAGCACAGGACAACATCATTCTTTGTGTTTTGTGAAAATAATGATGCATGCCTCGTCCTCCTCGCGCAGTTCACAGCTACAGGAAATAGCTGACAGCAGGAATGCTCCCTCGCTCTCCTCATCTGTCTCTATAGGAATCAGCTCCACTACTGGTTGGCTGACTTCTTCATACAACAACTTCCTGTAAACAAGTCACGCTGCCAAGCACCCTCCTATCCTCTACCTCTGATCTCCAGGGATCTCCGTTTGACCCCCTTACGCACCAGAACAATTGCTTTGAGCCCTCTTGAGAGGGTCAGCGCTGCACTTTCAGGGGCATTGGCCTCCAGCATGAAGGGAGGCGTCAGCTGGACTAATTTAGGATCAGGTCCAGGAAATACTTACTGTAAGGAAGATCTCTCTTTTTTTTTTTCATCATGTGAGGACTTTCTACAGTTTTAAGAGAGAGTTTTGGATTGCCTTAAAATAACAGCTGACAAGTACCACACTACCATTTTCAGCGCTTCGTACAACACCGACATGATTCTGTTCACTTTCATTGTCGGCAGCTGTAGTGCAGGCAGCAAATTTAAAGAGCGTTTAGAACTTTTGGGGGGACTGATACATCACCAAATATCAGCTTTATGTACATACAGGGATACTTCATAAAGTTCTCGGCCCATTTTGGGGCAGTACCCTCATATGTCTGTGTCATATACGTCAGCAGATAAGTAAAAAGAAACAGCAGCACAAAAAAAAGTCATACATGTGTTTGTGGTAGTTGGACACATCGTCACCTTTCAAGAGTTTGAAAGCACTGACAGAGTCTCTTGTGTCCACCGTCTAAATACGACTTGTTGGTTACAGCTCGGTTGTAAATGGCAGCATTTGGGTAAAAATAGAGGATCTTCATCATCAGAAATACAATAATAAATGTGCAGTCACGGTTTGGGAATGGTCATAACTCAGAGACAGTTTGATGGATAATGTCGAACATGATATCATGGATAGATACCATGACACTTTAGGTATATTTCATGTGACATATCTATTTTAAGTCTTCCTCATCTCGTTCTGTGGGGCTAATATCATACAAAATGGTAAAAGTCAAGGGAGCAATATGCATCCCTGTATCACGCCAAGTGGTTTAGCATTTTATAAACATGCCTTTTCATGATACCAGGCTGTAAACTCTAATGCTTTATCAGCCCATCCATCTACCCCGACCTCCCTCTAATGCACACTTTGTACTTAAAACAAAGTCACCTCTGTTCCTGAAGTAGCTGCTGTGGCTGCCAGGAGGCACTGTCACAGTGAAGCATATTTATGGACTGTAGTAAGCTGCTGACACAAATAACCAACGGGGTTCTTCTTTATTGGAGGATAATCTCTTATTTTTTTCAGTAAGAAGCTTCACTTAGTATATGTAGGAGGATCCAGTTGTTATATAGATAAACAGGTTTTTACATGTCAGATATAAGCATGAAAAATCAAAAATGTAGCATCTTATTCTATATCACTGGGAATAAGTGAACATATGTGGGTTTTACATTTAGTTTGAACTCAGAATTGAGGCGTCAACGTTGTAGACTTTGAGTTTGTTCATCCTGTTGATGTCCAGCAAAGACCAGATCAGAGGTTTTCCTTCCAAAGATCCAAATGTTGAGGAAGAACTTGTTGCGAAGCAGTCAGCCGTCTCTTTCGCAGCTATGAAGCTCCGAGTGTCTTCTGATGCTGAGAGGCACATTTTCTAGGTGGAAAAATCCAACTGTGGCAGGAACGCCAGAGGTTCTCTGGCACAACATTGTCTACATGCTGTGTTAGTTATGCCACTTAGGTCTGGTTTGTTGAAAGTCGTCTGCTGTGTTTACGCTGGAGATTCGACCTGGCACATGTGGCGCAGCGGGGTGCTTGGTAGGATTTTTTTTTATTAGCTCGCTTTATGAAAAGTTCTCAAGTGCAATAGTTCACACTGCGAGAACAGGAGGACTTTGTGAGAACACTTCTGTCAAGTTAAGATGATTTTAGCTCAGGGGTTGGAGTAGTCTTTAACCCCATAGTCCATAATTTCCTTTCACAGTAATCTGGGTTCACACATTAATACAGCTGCTGTGCAGAGCCAAACCCACATTAAACTCATGTGTAGAACTTTACAGCTACGACGGATATCATGAGTGAAGCTACTAAAGCTTTGGTTCTGGATCCTGGCTTTGATTTGGAGGAATCCTGGTCTAATGGTTTTTTGATGTGACTGTATTGATCATAGTGTTGGACCTCTTGTTTCTCCAAAAGCTTAAAAACTTTTTGTGCTGCAGCTTTTCGAGTGTTTCACATCCTTGTGTCTGTCCATCAGGTGAGCGGGCGGCTTGCAGACAAACATGACTGCCAACAAGAGTTCGAAGGCTGTGCCTCGTGCAGGAGGGGGTAAAGCTCCCCGGGACGTCCCCGACAGGTCAGTGACATCTGGGACGGGGCGGGCCGGCTAATGTGCACTTCCAGTCATATGACGTGGTTTCACAGTATCCATCTGACTGGATTATTGTTTTTTGTTCTTCTTATTTGGAAAGAGGTGCTGGACTTACTACCAGCTTCTTACTCACATTTCTCTCTCGGTGATCAGTCTGTGGTAGACTACCTTCTGTTTTGTCATTTGTGGGAAAAATGACCAGCGATTGTCAATCATGATAAGACTTGAAAAGCTTTTGCAAGTACGATCCTGTTTCCTGGACAAGGGCCCCATCCAAGCCTGAATTGTGAGTACAGAGCTGAAGCTTGTGTTAGCATGTTGAGAGCTGACGGTGTCCTGCTGGGAGAGGAAAACAAACTGTGGAAATGCTATGCGATATCTAGACCACTCAATCTTACAGTTTATCGTCCTGTCCGTTTTTATCAAGCCCCAAATGTTCTGTTTCTGGAACAGCACCGGCAGACTAATAACAGATGTAGTCAGTGTCTCCTTCGCTTCGTCACGGTCGAATGCCTGAACTTGAAGAGGATGACTGAAACCAACTGTGCTGCTATTAGTATTCAAGCTAATTCCATTATTTACCTGGAAGTGCTGCTCATTCCTTCCTTATATTTTGTGGTGATGAGTCAGTGGTGGTAAACACACGCTGACAATATTTCCCACGCCACAAAACATCACGTAACCTGCGGCAGCTGTTTTCTCTGATTGCTTGTGGTGTAAATTAGACACAGTACAAGCGGTAAACCACAGAAATTGTAATCAAAAATCAAATGCTGTGATATAAAAGGCATTCGTGTGCTTGTACATGTGCATGTTTAACACAGACGTGCTGTTGCATGTTCTGGACAACTGGTCAATGGAAATGTGAGCAAAACACTAATCACAGCAGCACAAAGCTCTGATACCTTCCCTCTGGCACAGATTGTGCATTTAACCTGTGTCACTTTAAATAAAATTAGTTGTCATTGTGGTGGAGACTTATTGGCAGCTTGTGGTCGTCGTGGGCTCGTGTTACCCCAAAGTCTTTAAGATCACATTTAAAGCTCATGAGACTTGAAGCAAAGATGCATTGCAGCTCCGTGTTTTGACAGATGGAGAGGATTTATTTGTGTTGGATGGTGCTACACAATGCATTCCCCTACACTGTGAATTTACCCAGGGATCAGTTTCTAGAACAAATTACATCTAGATTGAACCGTGTAGCCCGGAGAGGCACACATGGCAGCATGCAGCAACATGGTGGCAATTACTATTGGGTTGAATCTTGCTCTGCGAAGGAGCAATTAAAGATTTACCAGGTTTTCTGTAAGATCAGAGTCAACCCTTAAAAACAATCCAGAGAGATGAAAAAACTTCTGACTGGCAGAACACTGACACAGAGGGAAAGCTCATCTCCTGCTGCTCTGATCAGTGTTTCATACACTCAGGAAGGCACATCCTCCGTACTAACCTGAACCCTCCAAAGCTTTCACATTCGTTCTGGATTACAAATGTGAAATATGTAAATGATATTAAGAAATGTCAGGCAGGATAAAGTTTGTACATGTTGAACTGCAGCAGTAGCTGTGTGACCAGCCTGCTCCCTCCGTCCCGGTCAGTAACGGGAAGTGGCTTGTGGTCAGCATGCCCTGGAAGCCTGAGTGAGAGCCAGAGGCCAGGTTGTGACTGGCATCCAGCTCCCTGTACCGTACGGTTCTGTATGTGTGGCCGAACCAGCTGAAGCTGACTAAACTGGGCTTATTTTGACAAGCATTAACCCGACCACCAGAAACCCCGAAAGGTCCCCAAGTCCTGAATAGACAAAAAAAAGTGCACATATTTCCTTTTTGTGTCTAATTGAGAGCTCTTAAGTTTGTTTTAGAGCATGAGGAGTAATCCCAGCTAAACTAAGCCACAGTATTCTAACATACGTGTTGCTATTATGCATCAAATTGGCTGTTTTCTTTTTAAAAAATCTAGTTTATATGTAGTACGGATATGACATAATAGTGTGCAAACCAAAGCAAGAAAACAAGTCATGCAACCAAAGATACTAAGCACACAAAACCTAAATAACATAGAACAAAACAAGCATGTATGTGCTGTCGTGTGTGTAGACAAATCAGGAAAACATCAAAGATTCAGCTCAGAGTCTCTTCAGTCAGACAAGCATCTCTAACTGAAGACACAGCAGAATGTAATGTACTGAGTGAACGTAGAAAATGAAGCGTAGATGCTTTGAAACAGCATGAAGCGTAGCAAAGTGTGAGCATTTTCTTCCAGCTCATCTTGTTTCTGCTCGTGGATCATTGGTGGATCCTTTGTTGAGAATCGAAGCCCTGAATCATCCCCGCGTTTCGAACCCCAGAGCAAAAAAAACTGCATCCTGTCCTGATTAACTCTGTAAACTCTATTGTTAGCAGCATTAGAATAACATTACTGAATGTCTGGTCTGGTTGCTGCTCAAACATTCCCACTGATACTTCGCTGTTCTCTCTCCGGCTTCCTGCAGCAGTCGTACTCGTTGGCAGACGTCTGCTGAGGAGTTTCGCCAGGAGACCAGTCGGATTTTAATTTGTCAGACAAATTCTAATCGCTCCCCTCTGAAGCGCTGAAACATGTGTTGACTGCTGATTACCATCAGTGTGCTCAAAAACTATTTTATTCATGAAACCAAGCGGTCTGTTTGACTTACTGTGGATTTTAATGTGCTGGCAACTCAGTGGATTTACTGAAGCCGTGTGCAGTGTTGCGGTATTTGTACTTACATAGAGAGAAGTTGTACCTTTTACAGCACTACATCGAACTACACGAAGAAACACAGAGAAAGCTTATAAAATATATAATAAACTTCTTCATATTATATAGTTTTTCCACAAAAACAGGAACATTTGACATGAGAAAAGTTTCGGGGAGACCTTTAGAGGACCTGAACTGGAGGTTAAAAAAAAACATTAAAAAGACTATTAATGCATTAATATTAGCATGTGGAGCATAACGGAGCAAAAATTGTTTTCCTATTGATATTTTAAATACAACTTTATCACAATAATACTGTAATTTTAAAGAATAAGAAAGACTTTTACTTTGACAGACTCACTTTAGGTGGAGTTCAACTGTGACTCTTATATTATTTTATATGAGCTTTAACAAGGAGAGCTCACTTCATTCACTGTGGTGGAAGCAGATTTAGTGAAGCAGGCAGATTTAAAGGTGTTTTGTTTATTATTATATGATCATTTAGGAGTTGTGTTTTCCAATAAAATGTTGGCATGATTTCAAGACCAAAGAGTACATTAGTTTGAATAAATTGTTTATGAGGCACCGATATGCAGCTGTAAGTACATCTAAGTCTTTATTATTGTATTTATCAACAGCTGTAAGTCTTCCAGGAAGTAGAGGCTGGTGTGTAAACAGCTGATGAATCACAAGAGTAAAACACAGTTGTAATCAAGTAAATATATATATTTTTAAAGGGAGCTGCTATTGTTGACAATTTCTGTGTATTAATAAAAACCTGTATGTTAAATATCAGTACATCATGCAGTATTATAAACCCTTTTTTGAGGTAAATATGCTGCTTATTACTTACAAAACAGTGGAACTTGAAGTAAAACTTTACCAGCATGTTTTTAATTTCTGATTAGTTCTTCTTGAAGAATGATTTTACATCAACGAGGACAGGAGACAAAGTTCTTTGTCTGTCTGCAGCACAGATAAATTACTGAAATATTGGGTTTTATTACTCACACAACGTTTTTTTGGAACTGTTTGATTAACTTAGGGATTGCTTTTAATATAAGAATAAGAGATGGCAGAAACAAAACTGTCAGTGTTAACCATAAACATAAAATGGATGCTGACATCCCTAAAATATCGAGCAGCAGCCTGGTAGGAGCGTCATTTGGTTATTGTTTGGTAACCAAGTTGGAGGAAAGACCCCTCCACTGATATATCCGCCTAATCAATCACAATATCACAAGTATTGTTTGATTAAAAATCTGTTCAGGTGACTCCAAAGTACTAAAGCTATCAATAGTAATCTCCAGATGTGAGCCTCGAATTCTCATGTTTCTTCGAGGGAAGCGAGATAAGATCCATCCATCAGGCTTCCAGCTCGCAGGCACCAAGGTGCAGTAAAAGTCTCTCCACCCTGGAGCAGCAGGAATGAAACCAGGGAAGGGCAGATAGGTGTGAAGCCGGATCTGTTCCAACCTGCATTGTTGGATCACAGTCCGCAGCCCTCACCTTCCTCCTCCCATAGCTCTTGTTATTCTAACCATGGCTGTGACATCAGATCTCCCAACGCTTCACTTTCACAAGAGTTAGTCACCTTACCAGTCATGACTATGAGCAGGAGGTTGTCCCGCATTTACGTGGAAAGTTTTCTTCTGTGGAAATCTTAAAGGAGGTGAGCACCGTGAGAACGCGTGTGTGTTTGGTGAAAGCTTGTAGAATCAGCAGTGAGCGTTTGACTGCAGCAGCACCGAGTATCACTGAGCTGCAGGGATCAGAAAAAAGGCTTTGAGGACCAGAGAGGAGCAGCGAGCCTCCACCAGGTAAGAGCGCTGTGATAAATCTGGCCTGGCACTTTGCTTTCTGTGTGAGGTCCACGCTGATTCTCCTCAAGTTATTTTGATTATGTGGAAAAATCCACAGTGGCATTTTAATGTAGTCTGTATTTCCTTTGGCCTTTATTTTAATCTTTTGCTGCCAAAGACGGAATACTTTCCTGTGGTTATTCTAAATACGAGGCTCAGGTTTTCATTCTGCCTTTGATCCTGGAAATGAATTCAAAACTTTCAGCTGATTCTTTACAGTTTTCTCCCATCTGTTCCACATTAACTTTCTGTTACTCTTCATGCTGCCGTGTCGACTGGACTTGTTGGCAGCCCCCATGACTTGTCTCTTTTGTTCACACCTTTCTCTGTCTTGTTTCAGGTGCCAGTCCACATCGCCGTGTCCAGCCCTCTCTGCCAGCCCGGGGCAGAGCCAGCAGCCCCTCCTCGGCGACGGCGACAACTCTGGCAAACAGAGCAGGTACGTCAGGACCGACGGCCGGTTTCTGCTGCGCGCTGGATGGACCAGCAAGACAGCTAGCCTGTGCAGCGGCGCATTGCTCCCGAGTGACACCGAGTCCCAAGCCCGTCTCACCAAATCCAAGAGCATCAGCTGCCTGGACAACAGGCTCTCCATCTATAAGCCCCCGGCTCAAACCAAGTCTTGTCAGGAAAGTCAGGGCGTCCAGGAGCAGAAGGAGAAACAGGGGGATCTCTCAGCGGGAGATGGACTTAACGGTCGGCCCCTGAGCTGGAGCACACTCTCACTGGGACCTTCCTCCAACCAAGGCCACAAGCGCAGCCTGTCTCTCACCCGCTCAGTGGCAGGTGTCCCCCCCACCACCATCCGCAAAAAGATCTCAGAATGGGAGTGCAGACGGGTGTCTCTGCCTAGGATGAGCTTGTTACTGGATAAAAGAGGAGGCGAGCGTGTAGGGGGTAGCGAGGGCTGCCCGAGCCTGCTCTCTTCTCCCTGCAGCGAAAAGACTTTTGACTTTAAGGGCGTTCGCAGGATGAGCACAGCGTTCTCCGAATGCTCCTACACAGAGGAAGAGGAAGGAGTTTCAGAAAAAGAGGGCCACGGCCGCTTCCAGAAAAGGATAAGCAAGACAGACTCCTCGGGGCCGTTTGTGCGCTCCCTGTCAGCTCGTAAAGAGACGTCGGCCGTCCTCAACAGGATACAGAAGATAGAGCAGGCCCTGAAGGAGAATCCCAGCCCAACACCTCCACGTTATCTGAGCAACTGCTACGCTCCAGACAAGGCCAGACAGAAGTCCTTTGTGATAGGTGACGACCTGGACAGTCCATGCGCCAGTAAGCGCAGCAGCATTTGCTCGGTGGCCACTGAACCAGACGCTGTTTTGGTGCCCGATAAGCTCTCTAAGCTCAGACAAAGGTTCAGTGTGAGCTCGGCCAGGTCCGAGAGCCCGGAACCTCCCAGCCAGCGGAGCTCCGTCGGCTCGCCGGTCAACCCCTTACCCAAACCCAAACGCACTTTTGAATACGACGCCAAACGGGAGCAGAAGGGCGCGTTGCCAGCTAATGGACTACCTCCGGACAGAGCCTCGGAGTCTCCCCCGCCTCTGCCCTCCACCCCAGCACCCAGCATGACGCGAGCAGCAAAGACTGACGGCAGCACCCCCACGAGGATCCAGGACAGGTGAGCCAAAGACTTCTGCCTGCTTATGTCTCGAGACTTCTGAAGAAGCAGCTCAATCACAGTTTGTTTCCTCCACTCTCACACATTTCAACACTTGTTGGGTTTCTCTTGAGTCCACCTCACAACCAACAGCCTGTGATGGGGATGCTTTCACCTTGAACAAGGGCTTTCTGCTCTGTTGCTATGGATTAGTTTAACTCCTTTGACTTTTCTGTTTGGAGGCACAAACACATTTGAGCGTCTTCTGAGGAATTTGGATCAATGATTATGGCTGCTTGCTTTGTTGACGTTGTGGGTTAATAAGTTACCAATTAGTTTGTCTTAGTTAGGCTTCAGATCATTACTGAAACCTCACTTTTTGTCATCACTGTGTTATTTTTATGAAGTCTGCTGCTTTTTTAAAACCCTCAATCAATATTATAACCAACATGTGCTGCCTGCTGGATAAAAGCAGCTCACAGTAAAGATAGCTTGTTTTTATTATAGTTTACGGAACATTAAAAATGCCCGATACAGTCTGGAAATAAACATAAAAAAGTTTGTACTACAAAATCTGTATTGTGCAGAAACTAACTTTAAGCTTTCTACAGATATAAGAAAATCCATCAGATGTCAGCTGAACCTTTGCTGCTCTTTTTATTCGCTCTCAACTTATAGCTCTCAGGATCAGAGGGTTTTCTGTGTGAGGGTGGGGCCTCCACAGATCGTCCTTATGTGAAATCCTTAAACATTCATCCCTCGGACTCTGTGTTTAACATTCCTGTGGCTCCAGCAATTTCAGACCAGGCTTAAAAGCCACAAGCTGTCGATGGCGCGACATGACCGTACTGTAGATCCCTGCACTAATGTAGCTGGGCTAGCATTTTGTGCAGCGCCTTGACATGTGATGTGTGCCTTACACTGTGCAGAGAACACTCAGAAATAGTAAGAAATCTGCATGTTTACTTGTGACTTATCTGGAATGTCCTTGTGATCGGAGCACATGTTGATCTTGCTGTTTTTGCTTTATTATGAATACTTCAGATTTAAGTTGGGTTTTTTTTAAGGATCTGAACTTGTGTTTATAAACTCTAGAAGCGTCTTAACCACCTGTTCAGTGTTTCTGTGTTTCCAGACGACAAGTTTAGAGTGTTCGAAGTGAAGCCGTCTGTCTGGACTATTTTTAATACCGTCTGCCCGTTTTCTGTCTCCTGTTATCTGTCTGCAGACTCTGAAGCTTATTAACTTCTTGTTATTTTGGAGCGTCCAGTTGTTCCCCATCTCGGTTTGGTTTTGAATTCCTTCGTTTCTTTCCAGAGAGTCGTGCGAGTCAGAGGATGCTGCGAGCTTGCCGTCTTCATATCCGTCCTCACCCACAGAGAATGGCGCACTGACCACAGACGCACGGAGTCGACCCAATTCCAAAAGCACTTTAGAGGAGAATGCCTATGAGGACATAGTAGGTAAGCACGCTGGTCTGTTCGCTCTGAGATCAAGACGGATGGCCTTGATTTTACTGGATCAACAGAAAATTGATCCGCAACTTGTATTATTTTCATATAGATCACTGTTTACAGTAAACAAAACAGCATCTTTCTGGGGTTTTTTTTTGCATATGTTTTGGTTTTCTTCAGCTTCTATGATAGTTAACTGAACTTATTTGTGTTTTGTGCTGCTGATGTGACTAAACACAACACGTTAGAAAAGCGTGTGTGACCATTTGTCACTGATTTCTACCATTGTGTTTACTATTAATATTTTTAGGACAATTTATTGCATGCACAGAAACTCTGGAGGTTTTAGAGGTTGGCTTTCGGTCAGACGATGTATGTAGTAATCCGACAGGTGGTTTATAAAGCAAATGAGGCATTCGGGGTAACGTCAGGTGAAACTCTGCAGATCCATGCTGTGTGTCTTTTTGCTTATATAATGACAAGATAAAGTTGATCCATCCACTGTAAATACACCCACTGTGTGATTTGTGATCTAACAGTGGCTTCTGAAAACAGAAGTCTGATGCTGTCGTGAATCTCATCGTGACAGCGGCTCCTCCTCCTGCCTCATGTGGAGGTGTTGGGTACAGAAACAGCCAGTGAACATAAGATTAATGGGTAACATGTGGCTGTATAGGTTGTCTGTCTAGTTATCACACTGTTGTGCACGTGTTCATAGAGGATTAGCAATGAAAAACTCTTATGGTTAAACTTCCAAAGATTCTGAAATCAGTGTTGGCCAAATACACAGCGAGAAAGGTCTTTATTTGGTCGCTAAATTTTGATTGTCAAGCACCATCCTCTCACACCTGATACGACGTGTCTTACAATAAACAACTCAAACCAGTAGTTTGCTCTCTGGGATGATGTGTGTATGAAATTGCTGGACATGCTGAAGAGCCAAATTCCTTTCCACTAGCGAGCGACCCCAGGCCTTCTGCCCGGCTCAGCTGCCAGCTCCTCTCCGGTTGGTCGGTGCACATTGTGTCAGCGTGAGTGCAGCTTCACCATGAAGCTTGGATTTCAGATGCAGTAAAAAAGTTTTCACTCGCTGAAATATTTTTCATTGTTAAGTCTCCACCGATGACCAAATAAGGGCTGGATGTGTTTTACGTGCAAGTCTGACATCACGTCATTGTGCTTCTGCAAGTAACCATTTTTAAATGTACCAGGGATCAGTGTCCTGCTCATGAGCTTGTTTTATTTTTTCTTCCTTGGCGAAGATGTGCAGTAGTCTCAGGGAGGGCGTCAGGGCATGACGGATTTTCATGTGAATCCCAACAAAGCTCCCATTGTTCATCCGGCACTACTGTGAGTGGAGAGTTTGCAGCTCGGAGTCTTTGTTCGCTCTTGAAAAAGACGCGGTCCCCGAGTAAGTCTGAAATTGCGCAAATAAAAGCTGAACAGGGAAGAATGTTGGATTTCACCACCGTTCAGTAGTGCTTCACAGGTCAGGTGATCCATTTGAGAAGCAGCAGTAGGAAATCTTCTCGTGCCCCTGTTAGAACAAGCATCTCATACTGGAAACTACATATTTTCTGAACGTCATGAGAACATCTCGGCTTCCTCAGAGGATCGTCGGCTCACACGGTCTCGGGTCTTTGCACCTGTGCTTGATGTCAGAAGTTTACCTTGAGCGTGCAAGTCATGGCCTGCGCTACGGTGTTGCTACAGTTTCATGATAGATCGTGACGTTAGAGGGCTGTTTAAGTGCTTTTAACTAGTGCGGTTGATAAATAGGGTGTCAGTGAGTGAACTGTTTACGGGCTGATGAATCACACCCTGTGCACCGGTGACACCATGATTCAACCGTCTGCTCTCACTCCTGTGAATAAATCTGGGAGTCCGTCTGGCACATCGTAATGAGTAATTCAGAAGTTACACCTAGAAAGCTAAAGATGGACTCATTATTTTGTTATTCTAAGGTGCAAAATGTCCAATAAATATCCTGCCTTCTCCCTCGTAGCGTCTCCAGTGTGGTCGCAAACAGACTGAACGGTTTTGCAGCGCTGCCAGATGTTCTCACAAAAACTATAACCTCTTCTTCAACCCTTACATTTTTCTCTGGCCATGCTGTAGCTCCACACTTTATAGGGTAAGCTGATACTGACATTGTTGGTATGGTTTGTTCTGTGCCTCGCCCTGCCTCAGAGAGGCCATTGTGTACACAAAAAATGTACAATCACAGTGTGCAGCTGAGGTGTGTCCACTCCCTACATAATACGGTGTGTCTGGGAGTGTGTTAGAGCGAGATCTGGATGTTTGTAATCAGAGCAGTAGATTAGTACCCTCCAGTACATAAGCAGCTAGACAGACATATCATTTTCCCAGCAGGCTCTCATTACTGTATTGCTTCAGTTTACTGGAGCAGCGGCACAATGTGGGGCCAGACTAAGCCCTCTTACCCTGCTCCTCAGCTTTAATGATGCACAGAAAATAACTCCACTAAGCTAATTTACTGTACGACACAACATAACGATCCCTGGCACTGTACGCTGTCTGAGTGTGCGTGTGTGGATGTGTGTGTGCAGGTTTAATAATTAACCTAAATATAGATAGCTGAACAAAGCTCTGGCTGTATTTGGCTCTTAGGTGTCTCTTTTTTTTGTTTTAAATAAAAAACACTTAGTCATTGTTTGAGAACTAGAGTTCATCAGGTTCTCCTCTGATGCCCTTCTCAGGAAGAAGGAGCACAGCTACCAAATGGATCCTTGTTTTTTCAGTTTCTACTGACAGATAACACCGATTTTCTTTCTTTTAAAAGTTCCCTTCATGCATTTCGACGCCATCTGGCTCTGTTTTTATTCTTCGCTGTGGTTTCTCCTCTTTCTCACAACCTTTATCAGACCCTGCCAAGAAGCTATTCTCAGAGCACATGTCTGAATAGACATGGACTGTGGTGTTACACAAGTTCTCTCTTTATTGAAGTTGGTCCTCTGCCAGGTGACATCAGTGAAAGCAGAGCAATGCTCAGTAACGTTCCTTTTCTTTCCTCCTCTGCCATTATTTATTGACTGAAGTATATCTATAGAGCAGTAGCAAAGTTTGTGTCCAGAAAATCTACTGACAATAGAGATCCTACAGTTGTTTGTACCCTAATGCCTATATCTGATTTGAAACTTGAGAACATGTTTAAACACACAGAAAAACATCTAAATACTACGCGTGTTGTCCAAGAATGAGAAATATCTGTTGGAAAAGTTGTTGTAATGTTGTACTTTTCTAGTGAACTATAACTCTCAACGTTATTTGAACACTTTTATTTACTTTTACAACTTAGAAGAAGACCTTCTTCTTCTTCTTCATCTCTGACTGCAGACGTTTCACATGCCTGGACAATGACTCACCAGCAGTGTTGTGTCCAGAAGTTTCAGTTCGGCCCACTGGGGCCTGTGAGGCCCAGTGCCAACAGTAACTGTTTTGAAAAAAGGGAGTTCACTCGAGCCAGCCGGGAACGACCTTTGACTTACCTTTCATGACTCATCTCTTTTTAGACTAACCATCGGGAGGCCCTGTGGTGCCCCTGACACCCTTTGCCTCCCCCTGTTTACCCTCTTTGACCCGTCAACATCATACATCTTCTGTCAAAAACAGCCTCTGTCCACGACGAGCTGCTAGCTTTACTGCTGACGCTATAGTTTGAGTTACGCTGAACGCTTCACCTCATCCCCACAGAGAAGGAGAATCCATACGAGGATGTTGACCTGAAGCGGAAGAGTTTGGGTCGGAAGTTGGAGAGCAACAGATCTTGGACCAACATGGATCGGAAACTGAACTCCCCACCTCAGGTAAGTCACAGACCTGCTGGGATCAACGGCGCTGATGCGTTTTCCTGTAGTAAACATGACAGATATGTAATGTACATCCGCTCCCTGGGTGTCAGCGCTGAATCCTGGATAAGATCTCTGAAGGAATCTCACACCTCATTTGTGTCATGGCAGGAAACGCTTTGACATGTTTAGACCTCGTGATGTTCGCAGAAAAGCCCATCTGCACATTTGGCTTCCTCACTTCGACGCTGCAGCGCTTGTCTGAGTATAGGAAGACGAGCACACATGGTCACTGCTGGTGGAAACACGTGTGCTTTAATACTCCTGTAAACACTTCTCGAGCAGCTACTTTGTCTGGAATAGTGGAACCGCTGCATCTGTGTGTAGTGCAGCCAAAACAAACTGGTGCTGCTTTAATAGAGAAGCCCGTTAATAATTGGACCTTTTGTCCCTCACACCTTCAGCAAATACAACCTCAGCTCAAGCAGCTCACACTGGGAGTGTGTTTTGCACACAACAGGAAGCTACGCTAGAGGTTTGCTGGAGGAGCTGAAGGTGTAAAGCCACTTCAATATTTCAAACTTTATTTGAAACCAGCTGTCACAAATGAGAACCGGTGACTTGTTTCGTAGATGTGTTTTATATGAGCTGTTGCTCCTGAACAATAAAGGGCACGCCGTGTTCTTCTGGTTGCATTAGCAGTAACTTAATACAGCTACAGAGAGTGGTTTACATGCAGACATCTTTTCCTGTAGATCCCTTGTACTTACGCAGGCATTTCCAGGAAGGGAAACGCAGATCCTGCCACTAACAATGAAAGCTACTATATATAATGAGGTACACGCTGTATATGGTTTAAAAGGGTCGTATTATGCATCAAAAACAAACAAGAAATGGCTGTCATGGTTGTCTAGACTGTGTCTAGAGAGCCACAGAATGGGAGAAAGGACAATCCCCTCATTTCTTTTCTTCCTCCAAAGACAGAAAGTGTTTCACTATAAAAGCTGGTCACGTTTGCAGCCTGTTGTGATGTCAAAAAAGCCAAAAATGATAATGATCTTTACTGATAAAAGCACTTCTCCAAACCCAGGTTACATCGTGCTTCACAAGTCAACAAAACAAATTCATTCAGATAATTTAATTTTCAGAAGAATTGTTACTTGACCGTCTCTAATTTGCCTGAAAATTTAATAAAAGCAATATTTATGACAATATTCATGAAATGAATTGGCTTGATATATCAACTACTTTTCATTTCCCTATATTAAAAAATATTTGATTATATGTCTTTGGTGAACCATTTTGAACCTCCAGACGTCTGTTCTACTCAGATCAGCCGACCAGTGGTGTTGTTATTGTGGTGCAGCTCGTCACATCTGCTCAATCAGTTATGAAAGTTTAATGAGAATAACTTTTTACAGTTTTTATGAATAGGTATTTCACTTTAAAACGTATTCTCTGTTTGGTTTTATTGTAAGATGCAGCTACATACGTTCATAAAAGATCACTGGCTGATAATTTTTTTCACATTTATCTCGACTATAATCAGATATTATGTGATCTACTTGTCCAATATTACAGGTCCTTAATTAATAGCATGATTGGCAATAACAGGTTAAAAAGGTTCTGAGATGTTGTCATTCAGGCATTGCCTCCAATTTAAATGTGCAAAAAAAGCAAGTCAAAGCTGGTTGAACAGAAGATCCTGTCTGATTTGTGATGCAATAACCCAACTGTAAATAGTAACTGACGTTTACCAAACGTTCCTTATTCCGTTCTCTGTAACTAGTTGCCGTCCAAACCCAGCAGCCAGTCCCTTCGTCTGCCTGGTCCGAGCGACAGGAAGAGCCACCGGATGTCGCAGCTGTCGAAGCGCTACAGCCACGACGAGATGCTGCTTCTCCCCCAGATCGGCGTGTCGACGTCACCTTGCGGCCTGCTGGATGATAGCCTCTGTAGCACCAGTGATACGTTGGCCTCGCACCGGCACTGGAGGATCCCCAAGGTACACAGCGCTTGATCCTACACAAACACCTTCACTAAGTCCTCGCTGAGCTCCGACTGTGTTCTCTTTCCGTTCCCGCTTCGCAGACCTGCTCAGGTTTCTGTTGGGACCGGGTCAGAGTCGGAGCAGCTCTGGATCACTCGTAATTCCTCAGTTTGGAGAAGATGTTTTTAAGATACAGCGCCTTGATGCATGTAATTACTGTGTGGGTTCCAGCCTCCTGCGGTGCTTCTTCTCAAGAACTCTCCGTGCAGCCTTTCAGTTGTATTTTTCTGCAACCCTTAACACACATGTCCAGTTTCTGACGCTGTTGCTTTTGGCCAGGTACCCCTGTGCTTCCTCTATACTTAGGATCAAAGGAAACAAAGCTTAAGAGTCCTCTTCAGACAAGTTCCTCTTTCGTCTGTTTACAGCTCGTCCAGAGGATCAACTCCATTTACTGCACTAAACGTGGGAAGAAGAGGCTGAAGAAACTGTCCATGTCCAACGTTGAGACCGCATCTCTGAGAGGTAAGGCTTCTCTTTATTCCCTTTATCCGCCGGCCAGATAAGTGAGTAAATATTTGCGTCTCAGCCACCCACATCGAGTCCCTTTCATGGCATAAACACATGTTTGTGAACCTGCCCTCTGACCCAAAGAAAAACTTGTTGTCTGTCTCATATCTGCTCCCCAGACGACAACAGTGAGAGCGAGAGCGACTCCGACGACAGGTTCAAAGGTGAGTGACCGCAGCTTTCATCCACAGCGGCGCTTCGCTTCTGCTACCTCTGAACTTTGTCTTGGAAAACTTTTCCTCAGTGCTTGTGAACAGTTTTGGATTTGACCAGTGACCTGAACAGAGCACAGAACTGTTACTGAAACATTTGCCAGATGCACAGATCAGCAGCGGACCGGACAACATTTATCACATGTTTGAATTCACTGAGAGGAATAAATGTTGAATTAGTGACGGTTTCATTCTGATTCGGTGCTTTACAGCCTCATTTAATTCACCTGGAAGACGTTAAAACCCCGTGAGCCAGCATTTCATACTGTAACCTGTGGATTTTGTGTGTCCTCCTCAGCTCACACCCAGAGGTTGCTCAAACTGCAGTCCATCCTTCGACGAGCCCCCAGCTATCGTACACTGGAGCTGCAGCTCATTGAGTGGCAGGAGAGGGAACTCTTTGAGTACTTTGTGGTGGTTTCTCTGAAAAAGAAACCCAGCAAGAACTCCTACTCCCCGGAGGTCACCTACCAGTTCCCCAAGGTAAAAGTCAAAACCAAATCCTGCTGCTCGTTATCACAGACACCGTTTACACCTGACATAACAGGAACTGAATTATGTTCACGTGAAAGAAAAATGGAAGTGAAATGTGTCAGTGATCCTCAGCTAGTGTTTTGGCAGCAGAAATGCAAACAGATATGTCAGTGCAGCGTGTTTTTCAAGGTTTAAATGGGTCTGAACCACATAATAATACTAATACTACAACGACTATATACCCAAAAGAAACGAGAATCCAAGTTACGATTGCTTCATAATTACACATTTAAATTAAACTGAGTGAAATCTTTAATTTAGTCTTTATGTGTCCAGCTCTTGACGTATCTGTAAGATCCAAAAGCAAATGAGCTTTTAAAGGAGCCTGCATAATATCAGAAATTTGCCACAGTGATTAAATTCAAGCCTGGGCTCCGTGTGTTTATCCTGCTTTTCTTAAGTTTCTCTTGTTATTCTCAAACTGGACAGGATAATTTGCAGCAGCAGAATTTTCCTCTGGGTCGGTTTTCCAAAGTTTTCCCACCGTGAGCCGTTAGTCATGGATTACCACAGAGGCGTGTAAGCCAATAACACAAATTAATACGTATTAGCATGTGACTGCGCAGGTTGTTGACGATTACAGTTTATAGCTCGGAGGCCTGGAAGGATGTTTACAGATAAAAATAACCAGGATCCATTCGTGTGACAGGGGAAGTGTTTTTAGTTGTTCAAAAATACATTTTAAAAGTTATTTGGTTTGGCAGAAGTGTCCCTCGGGAGAAGTACGTCTCTTCCAGTCAGGGCAACGCTCACTCTGTCGTTGAGTTAAAAAAAGATTCAAGGAGCCAAAGGTTTAACCTTGAATGGGAGAAATGTTCGTCTGGTCAGTTATGGGTCACATCCAGACATCCACAGGAGACTAGAAACGAGGACAGAGTCATCTGAAGGACAGTGAGCTGACTCCTCTCCTC